CTCTAAATCATCTATTACATTATACACGTCACCAAACGAATTCATACCGCAAGCATTACAAATACTTAGTATCAAATATTTAAATTATTTCCATGCAACGTTCATTTCAACTTAAATGTATACCAAATTCCTACAAACATAAAATTCACAAAATAACTATCATTTCATTAAAATATAATTAAATTCAAAAACACTACTTAAAATATAAATGAGCACATACATTAAATTAATAAAAATTACCTTACAATCCTAATTACTTTAAACTAAATCATTGCTAATAACAATTTTCCCAATAATACCAAATTCCTTTCCCACCTTACATAGAACAATGCATAAAAATAATATCCTCAAATAATTAAAAATACTAACTTACCTAATCTTCTTCAGAATATTGATTACGTGGCGGATACACTTTTCTAATTCATTCAATAAAATTATTGGAAGATTTTTTATGCGAATTTTTCCTCCATACTTCCTTCTCCCCGCTAAATAAAAGCAAACTTCTCTTAATCACAATGCCTAAATACCCATTTTCGGATTCACTTTAGTTAGGGCCATGGGATCCAAAAATTAAACAACACTGTTTCACACAACACAGAATAAAGCTAAATACAAAATTTTTCCACATTTTTTTTTTCCATTTTTTCCCGATTAAAGAACCGTAATTCGTCCATTAATATCACATGACATATCCCATCCCACCCATCCACGATCTCTCATTTCCCTCATGCAAAATAATGCGTAATCGGAACTGAGTACTGCTCACATTATTACCAAAGTCCCAGGTAGTAACCTTTATCGCCTCCAAAATGTCGCCAAACTACCAGTTACCATATTGTAAAGATCAACCGAAAATTTAACTTAATTTCTGAATTTTGAGAATTTGTTTATTTATTTATTTATTTATTTTTTGACTGTCTGACATTCACGAGTTTAAAATTTCAATATCTAAAAATACATTACATATAAAGTTTTGAATTCTTTACAGATTATTTTAACAAACACTTTGACCTATTTTAAAATAATAATTATAAAAGCATATTAACTGGATGATTTTCTACATTTATTTTGAAAATATGTTGCAGTCTCAAAGAAGAAGGGGGGAACTGTTTTTCCGCCCGTCATATTACTTTCAAAGTTATGATGTCAGTATGTCACACGATTCTTACTGCTTCTGTACATGTATCTTTGCATATTTATGATCTCAAAAGTAACACAATTTAGGGTTTTAATTAAATAAGTATATAATCAAATACATTACTGTTTTTATAGATAATACACAAACATATTTTATCATACTCTTGAATATAATTGCAAAATTTGTTAGAAGTAAAAGAACCATTATACATTATTGAAAAATGATTTTTAATCAATTTTTTTATTGATAATACACAAGTGAAACTAAAATACAGAAAATAAAATTTAAAAATAGGTTTTTACAGACGATAAGCTTTTATTTAAAATCAATATGATAATTAACGAACTAAAAATAGAAAAATAATTTATACAGATTTAAGGAAAAAGAAGATTTAACAATTCTCTTTAGAAAATTCATCTACAATTTCATATCACAAATAATAGTCACTGATAATAATACATAAATAACTACTTAATATATATGAGAATTTATTTATTGCTTTCAAGGGTACCCACATTTTTGCTATTCGTTGTATAAAACTGTCGATGAAATTTGTAAAGAATTGTTTTATCTTTATGATAAATTACTTATCTGTTTTGAGTTCATTAATTATAATACCCATTTTAAATAAAAGCCACTATGTAAAAACCTTCTTTTTTTTTTTTTTTTTTTTTAAACACTGATGTCCAACACAATATAACAATTTAGTAGTGTTATGTGACACAAAAACCATTTCCTTCCCTAATTTCTAATTACACAGCTGTTAGCTTTCACATGAACAATGATGTATTTTATTAAAACTGGTTCAATTGCAAAATCCAAAAAGAACCTTGAATTACTTCTCAAGATTCCAAGTCTTATTGTTACATTACTTAACTAACATTGTACATATAGTTTTACTAATATCTATTCCTCACTGTTATTCAATGATATTCTGGTTATAACAGCAATGATATGAAATTCAAAATTACATAAAATGGAAAATTAAATTGACATTTAGCATTTTGGAAAAGTTTGCAGGATTTCACACAAGACTAAAACAAAAACAGTGATGAGATTCAACTTATTCAGAACAACTTCGAAAAATATTTTTTTTTTCAATCATTGGTTTTTAAAGATGAACCATGACATTTATGTAAAAAATTTTTTGCTAGTTAGTAGCTAATTTTACCATTTACTTTCAGCCAATGAATCAGTTTTTAAATCATTCTAATTCTAGTATTGACACATCTTTGACCAATTTCGAATCTTTCTATGCAGAACTAAAACCTAAAATATCTTTAGTCCAGTGAACCTATTCTGTCTAGACATACGTTTGACTATCTTAAATCCTTTCTTTTTTTTTTTTTTTTTTATTAAGAAATATATTAGAAGACAATACAGACTGTGAAAAACATGTGCATTTGCAACATAAACAAAATGGGTATTTTTCCATTAACAATACCTTTTTAGAAATATACCAGAAGTAATCATGGTTTAATACCAAAAATCTTAATTGCATTTAGTGATTTTTTTTCTTTTCATAATTCATTTAGTGAAACTCAACAGTCTGGCATTAAAACATTCTCATTTGTGAAAAAATACTGTCTGCTTAAATAGTTTTTTTTTTTTTTTTTTGCTAATCTTTGGAATATGGTAACAGGTAGTTTGGCGACATTTTGGTAAGGCGATAAAGGTTACTAGCTAGGACTTTAGCAGTGTACATGGATAAAGTCAAGAGTGTGCGCAATGCCATTTTTGTGCAATTCTGGGATTTTTTTTAAGTGAAAATGGGTCACGTGTACATGGATGATACCATGTATGTGCAATTCTTAAAAATGCGGCAAGCAGTGGGTGATTCTGCACTTTCTCCCAATTTCGCACCTAATCTTCGTCATGATGAAGCATTTTTTGTTCCATAAAAGTTCTAGTATAAGCATAATTTGGCTAGCAGATTGTTGGAAAAAATGTTGAGTAAAAAAAAAAATGCCTTTACTTCATGAAAACAAAATGGCGTCCAAAACAAAACTAGCAGGTTGCTGTAGCAGGGTTGGTCGCCAAAAAACCGCCAAGTTACCATAATCCAAAGATTAACCTTTTTTTTTTTTCTTTATCTAAAAGTATTAAAAACAGAGGTAGAATTTTACTGGCCTAAGAAAGCATATATTAATTAAGAAATATAATTGGCATAATAATTTATTTACATGCTTATTATTTGCTTTATGGCTTCTTACACAATATTTGAAAATAGTACAAGTGTAGTCTCTGTCGTGATTTTTTTTTTTTTTTTTTTTTTATGCTGGCACCTTTTTTAAAAATATTCCAAAATTTACATTAAATCTGCCTGCAAGTTTTGAATTTTACTCCCCTAGATAAATTATTTCCAATCATATTTACTTATCATGATGAAATATATTAAAAACTATATATTTGGCAAACATTTAAAAATTGAGTCATACAAAAAATATGTAATCTTAAATAATTTTTAAATATAAAAATACTTAAATTCTCAAATATAAAATAAATTCTATAACTAAAAATAGATAATTAAATAAAATAATAATAGTTAAAATAATTAACTTATAATCAATTCTAAATTAATTATAAAATATTAGGTACTTTTCTGTTATGCACCTGCCACCCATTTTGAGACATTCGTGCAAGTGCGTGTGCATGCAACCTGTAAACTATTCTTATAACCAAAAATTATTTACTTATAAAAACCCACCAAAATGTGTGGCAGGCATATAATGGAAAAGTACGAAAATTACTTTTGAAATATATTAAAAAATAACTCTAGGTAATTCATTTTTTTCCCTTCCCTATATTAGAGGAGACTTCCTCAAATATAACAATAACAGAAACTACTCTGAAAACACTACTACCTTATGACAATGGTCCATAAAGAGGTAAAGCTTAGTTGAATAATTCCATGCAACCCTTAGGCAAGACCAGTTCAGCTGTCAAATTTTCCTTTCTCTCGTTATGAATTTGAAAATGATTCATGTGGTTTCTGGTATTTATCCATAAAGATAATTAAAACTGACATTCAATTTTAATCCATACATTTCATACACAATAAAGAATTTTCAAAAATGTTTACCACTTTATTACCAAGTTTACTTTTTATAAAGCAAAATTACTTAAAAACCTACAATTACATCTTACAAAATACAACCAACTTTATAAGGTCTACAAATACGTACAATTTGATTTTATTTATATTCTTCAAAGATGATATTTTAAATTTAAAATGCTGAAAAAAAAAAGAATGCACACACAAACGAAAGTTTAAAATAATTTTAATTAAAACACAATACTCTGCTACGTGTGAAATATTTTTACATAATGCATGCAGTAACATAAATTTAATAATAAATCTGCCCTTTAAATATCATCAGAGGAGTGAAATTAAAATTTGCATATCGTATCAATTTCCGATTTCAGTCTTAAAGAACTAAGATTAAAATAACATTTAATTAGTAGTTATTTCAATTCGGTGGTTACAGAAGAGGTCATTATTGTTAATAGAATGGACACATTGCTAATACGTTTCCAGGTAAGCTTTGTTACGTGACCTTATAATCAAAAAGTAAATGTTATTATAGAGAAAGTAAACTCTGTTACCAAAGAATTCACACAATTATTTTCTGTTACTATCCACTGAAATCCTCTCACCATAATACACATACTCACGTTAATGCGTGCAAGTGCAATCTATAAAAACGTTTTCAGATACATGCCTAAGTATTTTAATTTAAAAGAATCAGAAGCATTGTATGGGTCTTTTGGGAAAAGAAAAAAATTATTCAAACGTTTAATAGGGTATTTTTTTAACTCCGTCGAGTACATAAATTTTTTATCCGCAGATTTTGGAACATACCTTCCGAATCAACATTGCTTCATCATACTCATTCCTTGCACTTAATCCTAAGAAATATTCACATCACAATGTCATTATGATTTTTTGCCAATCACTAACATGCGTGAATTAAAATGCACGATAATATTACGAGCGCATACAACATGATACACGCCGGCACGTCAATTCCATCGTTTTCATTATACAAAACACAACAGCACAGCCGTGGATACAAAAGCAAAACACACTACTGTTGTCAAGCAAAGTAGCCCCCTAGCGGATGTTTCCGAACATTCGACTTTGATTAGATTGATCGCCTTTGTTGATGTCGAGTCGTTAGAGGATAACTTCAGTAATGAATATTTAATGATTATGCCTTCCTTTTCGTTTTGCAAGGCAACCTTGATACTGCTTTTCTTAAAGAAAGCAGCATACATAAATGTTTTTACTTTTTCTTTAACCCAAACGGCCTTTAGCAGAGAATGGCTATTAGTCTGGGTGGGGGGGGGGGGCGCCGCGTCGGGGGGGGGGGGGGGGGGGGAATGGGGGGGGTTGTGGTGGGGGGGGGGGGGGGGGAGGGGGGGGGGGGGGGGGGGGGGGGGGGGGGGTCGGGGGGGGGGGGGAAACGGGGGGGGGGGGGGGGGGGGGGGGGGGCGGGGGTAGGCGGGAAACGGTGCTTGTGGGGGGGAGGGGGGGGGGGGGGGGGCGTCGGGGGGGGGGGGGGGGGGGGGGGGGGGGGGGGGGGGTTTCACATTTTCAATCACATCATCAGGGGGGGGGGGGGGGGGGCGGGTGGGGGGTGGGGTGGGGGCGGGGGGGCGGGAGGGGGGGGGGGGGGGGGGGGGGGCGGAGGGGGGAGGGGGGGGGCGGGGGATGGGGGGGGGGGGGGGTCAACCGGGGGGGGGGGGGGGGGGGGGGAGTCCCTTCGGGGGGGGGGGGGGGGGGGGGGGGGGGGGGGGGGTCGGGGGGGGGGGGGGGGGGTGGGTGGGGGGGGGGGGGGGGGGTGGGGTACCGGGGGGGGGGGAAACTGTACTGCTTTAAATATTTTAATTCTCCAAATGGGGGGGTTATTTTCCTCTAGGGGCGTTCCTCTTCTTCTCTATACCAAAACAACCTATAAATCTTCTCTCACGGGGGTGGGGGGGCGGGGGGGGGGGGGTGGGGGGGGGGGGTTATAATATAGGGGGGGGGGGGGGGGGGGGGGGGGGGGGGGGGGGGGGGGGGGGGGGGGGGGGGGGGGGGGGGGGGGGGGGGGGGGGGGGGGGGGGGGGGGGGGGGGGGGGGGGGGGAATTGGGGGGGGGGGGGGGGAAAAATGGGGGGGGGGGAAATGGGGGGGGTGGGGCGGGGGGGGGGGGGGACAATATCGGTGGGGCGTGAAAACTTGGGGGGTGGGGGGGGGGGGGGGGGGGGGGGGGGGGCTGGGGGGGTGGGGGGGGGGGGGGGGGGGGGGGGGGGGGGGGGGGGGGGGGGGGGGGGGGGGGGGAGCGATCAAAACAAACACGCCAAAACTGTACAATTCATCGTTTTAATATAAAAAACAACAGCACAGCCGTGGAACAAAACAAAACACACTACTGTTGTCCGGGCGGATGTTTTAAATTCGACTTGATAGCTATCGCTTGGGGAGTCGTCGTGGGAACTTCTAAGAAATGGCTGATTCACCTTCCTTCCTTTTCCAGGAAACGATACGATCTTAACGGAAAGAGATACATAAATACGCCAAACCCAAAAAGGCGGGAGAAATACTTTAGTCTCAAACAAATTCTAGCCAAAAATATTAATCGCATTTTTGTCTTTTAAAGAAATTAATAACGAAGAATCCTCGTAGAATGTATATATGTTCTCATATTAAAAGTTTTTTTGTTTCGTTATAATATCCATTTTTATAACAGAAAACTTATAAATTTTATGAAGAGTGTTACACTGTACTTTAAACCTTTTTTTTTGATCTTTTTTTAATATCCAGCGCGCGAGACTGTCTATCGAAAATTCTAAAGATATGCTGTTTTTAAGTGTTTTTAGCCCAAAGGGGCATTAGCGTGAATGTTCTCCAAACGAGTGCGTGTGTTTATATGAAAAAGCGCCTCTTTGGGTGTAATATAAAAACTGAAAGCTTTTAGATTTTCTTTTTGTTTCAGCGGCGGGTTCTAGCCATTTATAGGCGTTGGCCACTTCTAAGGTTGCAAGCGATAGTCACTTTTTTTATGGAGGCACCTAATTGGTGGACTATCGTTGCCTCGTATGAAGGGACAGACAAATTACATTCATGCCTTCTCCGGGATTCAAACCAAGTCCTTCGGTACAACAGTCAGATTCACTTACTACTTTCCATTCTGAGTGGCAAATTTTTGTAATTAAATGACGTACTTCTTTTTTTATCTCAGTGTGTACCCTACTTGAATAGTACTTAATATTTTAATTCTCAAATGGCAAAAGCTTCGTTAGTTTCTCTAACCCGTGCAAAATGCAGCTTAAATATCTAGAGACATTAGGTTAATTGGAAAAGCCGGAGAGATGAAAAATGAGCAAAACTAATTATGCAATGCCTTCGTTTTCTAAGGGAAACTGGCTCGTATACACGTTACACATGCCTTCTCCGGGAATCGAACTGCGGACCTCTCAGTTACGCGCTGAGTGTGCTGACCACTACGCCACGAAGGCTCGCAAAAAAGGCGGGAGAAATACCTTGTAAGTAAACCACGTTATATTAGCATTATTTGGTCTTTAGCTCAACATTTTTTTTTTTTTAATTTTATTTTATTTACTTTTTATTTTAGACTTCTTTATTTGATATCCTCTTAGAATTCTTTATCTGGAATCTTCTTACATTTATTATAAAGTTTTCTGTTATAATATCCATCTGGTATTATAACAGAAAACCTATAAATATATATGAGAGTATTCAGAGACCGTTCTTTAAAACCTTAAATACGATTTTGATCTGGAGGCAACTGCATATCTCCGGAGACAACTTTATGATCGACAAATTTTAAATGCCTCTAAAATAAGAATTTTAAAAGAAATATTAGAAAATGAAAATGCGAGTTTTTCAGAATCCTTGCGCTTTAATAAAATGAAGATTTTGTAAGTTAAAGATCATTAATTAAAGACAGATAAATACGACTGAAACTTTTGCAATGTTACAGGGTTTTATCATTATCTTTGAATTTTATTCTTTTTGCATAGAAGATAGAATACTAATAAGGAGAGGGTTAACAAAACTATATAGCAGATGTTCAGATATGTTGCTATAGAAGTTTTTCTGTTGATTTTATTTTTTGTAATGCTATAAATTAGTAAAAAGTTGCTGCTAAGAATTATTGATGATTACATATTTTTTGTAAATTAATCACTGTTTAATATTCATAAAGATCGTAGCTTTTCAATACCGAAAATAAATGAAAGATAATATGCAATAGGTTCAGTTTTAGCCTGAGGCTTAGTTTGAGAATAATGAGATCGGTAATACTTGAAATAATCTTTTAAACAATTTTTTACGAGATATTTGTGTAAGACTGTGTTCCATAATAGCTAATAATATTTCGAAAAAGCTGTCATTGTTTTCACTGCCAGAATTTCACGCCTTACCGAAATGGAAATTGTTGCTACTTCATGTGAGGAAACATATTCGTTGCAAGCTTCGTGAGCAAGAAATCCAATGAAAAAATGCACAGCTTCATATTGAATAATCAGAATTTTTCCTTCATAAAAGTCTGAATGATCACTAACTCAGGAGTGATAATATCAGCATTTTTTAAAATTTTATTTTCTACAGCTTTTCTAAATATATTATTATATGTTCTGCGTATGGGATATCTGTTATTTAATTTTTAAATTCAAAAGACTTTCATAATTATTTAGCCTAAAACTGATTGATGTACATAAAAATTCATTTAATTCCTGATATGTATAATTAAAAATATTAACTACTTTTACAGAATCACATCATATTTTTTCATTTTTTTAAATCTACAGAAATTGTAACGTTCCCATGTTATTCTAAACACTTATTCCTCTAATAGCCTATAAAATATTTCGCTCTGATACCTGGACCATCTCTATCGATAATCTCTGATAAACCATATTAAACTTTAAAAGTTTTAATAGTGAACTCTTTTTGGTGGTCTTAGACTAAAATCTGAAGTTTTCAGCTTGCTCTTTTTTTACGTTTCATTTTTATTTTGAGAATACAGAGCAAAAAGTTAAGGCTGATGATATTCCTAAGAAAACACTTCAGTTCACTTTCAGTTCGTCTTACATCCTCCTAAGAAGCATATTTCTTACATTTTCCTAAGCATAATTTAAAAAAATTAAAAAGAGTAATTTAATTTGACATTTATTTTTAATGTACCACCAACATAATGATAAAACAATATAATTAGAAAATGGTCTAAAATAACGTTCGAATATTATTTCAGATTTTTTAAACAATACGTAACATTGAAATGCATTAAAAGTTATTATTAGTTAAGATAAAAAAAAAAAAAAATTTCAAATTTCAAATTTGGTCTTCCACATGCTCATATTCGTTGGAGGATTACGTTATTCAAAATTCGATGACTCTATGTACCGTTATTTTATGACAATGTGAGAAATATACATACATTTACGCAGATTTTCATTATTTAATTTCTTCAAATATAATGCAGGACTCTAACATTTTATGGCAACAGTTTGAAAAGTGAACCGACATTTATCCGTCCAACGCAAAATGCCAAAACGAAACTAATAGTCCTTCGGGATTCAAATCCCTTTGGACTAAAAAAAAAAAAAAAAAAAAAAAAAAAAAAAAAGCTAAATATTTGCTATCTTTCGGCCGTTGAATTAATTTATGTATGGCCAAAGTTCAAAAACTCAGTGTTGAAATCATCAAGCATTTGCATTTGATATATCTGTTAAAAGGAAGGTTAATTTCTCTTATTATTCAGCATGTGCCCTTTTGCCTTTCCTACCAGAAATAACATTACAGAAGCATTAATATTTTATTCATATATTCCATTCTTTTCCCAGCTTTCCTCAGATCAGACGTTAAAACGTTTGTTTAAAAGCGGTTGGACATCAAAGCCGCTGAAGAGCTTCAACGCTCCAATGACCAAATTTAATGCGCAAACAACTCATCTGAAACCTATCATTCAAAAAGACAGAATCGGGGGGGGAGCAAGGGGGAAAGATATCGAATGAGTTGCCAGGGCAACAGTAATGGCAACATCACCGGTGG